GAGGCCAATGTAAATAGGTTTGAATTAAAGTGCACTATATGTCTTGAATATATGTCAAATCCTTGTACCATTTCATGCGGTCATACATTTTGTTACCATTGCCTTTATAAGTGGGTATGAAGTATTTCTCTACCTAATACTTAGTAAACTTCAATTGGCAATTTATAATATATTAAATTTATTATTTGCAGTTCAAAAAACAAAAAAAATGTCTGACATGTCGTGTTAAAATTACAGTAGCACCAGTACTATCCTTTGCTATTAAGGAAATAATAGACCATTTTGTTAGAATAAAATCATTAGAAGAAGAAACACGTCTAGAAAAAAAAAAACAAGAGTTCAAAGCTATATCTAATCCGTGGGACAACCTTTTTGGCAATTCAAATAATACAGAAACAAAACCAAAGAATAAAAGATCATATGAGGGTAATTGTTAAACAAATTACCGTATTTTCGCTAATAACGCTCATCTGCGCGTTATTTCGAGTACGCGCATGAAGACAATTAAAAAATTTTAAGTAATTCTTGTATAAAAAATAAACATTCAAAATGCTTCGAAACTAGATTTAGTACAAGTAAACCTTCTTTCAGATTTAACAAAAAGTTGTTCTAAAAAAACAACTTTTGTTGAAGTTCGAAGGTATACTTAGTACTAAATCCAGTTACGAAGAAATTTTAAATCTCTTACTCTCTTACTACGTGGTGCGCGCTATTTTGGGACGCGCATGAGCGTTATTTTGAAATCATACATATTATTTTTATGGGCACGATTTTCGAAATAACGCTCATGAACGTTACGCGATAATACGGTAGCAGTTAATTATGAGACTTAAATTAATTAGTTCTTTCTACCATAGAAATTGAAGATGACGAAATAGAAATCGAAGATGACAGTGAAATAGAAATTGAAGAAATTGATGATTATTCAGAATACGATAATTATGACACCTCGGATTCTTTTATTGACGATGAAGAAATTGAAGAAATATACACTGGTAAATCCTTTTTTTCTTTATTTTTTTAACAGCCCAGGAGCTAATAATTGAATACTTTAATTAGACGAGGATGAATATGATAACCTGTAAAAATTTGGCGTTAGTTCGAAATCACATGATTTTGATTTAATGGATTTGCTTTATTAGAGATGCGATCCGGATATCTATTAATTCAATTTTATAATAAAACCAAATTTACGGGTTTAAGAGTAGATGAAACCATTATAATCACTTTAATTTCTATGTGGGGATCAACTTTAGAAGTTTTTGCATCTGGATAAATTAACTCAAGAAACTGGAAATGCTCTATTGACCCATTGTTCAAATCTTAAAAATTAGCTATTTATTATACGGATGCATATTCACACAGTTTTGTGTATCCTTTTCTTCAGCAGTCATCTCTTAAGTCTCTTCTTATTAATGCGTATAGCTTATATTATCAGGAGTATTTTAAATTGGTTCCAAAGTTGCCAACCACATTAACTTTTTTGGGATTAGATACAGATTTTAATGAATTAGACTTTGAAAATTTCGTAAATTATTGTGGTAAATATTTCGATTTGAAAACACTAAATATTAAGCGTTTATAGATTTATATCTAAAATTTTAGTATGTAGTTCTTAGAAATTTAAAATCATGAAAATATTGATTATTTAACATTTTACTGTATTTTTTTCATAGCTTGAACTGAAAGTTTTATAATTATTTTTTAAAAATAAATTGATTTCTTATATATTAAAAATTTTAAATAGTCGCATAATTAACGTTAATAATTTATATTAAATTATAAAACCACTAGTAATAAATCAAACAGTGACCTTTATTAATAAATTAGTAATTGGTGCTACTTTAATATATGAAATAAGGTTATTTGGATGAAGGGTATTTTGGCAGATTGAGATATCTCATAATCTAACTAGAGTAGAATGTCCAGAATTCTGCGGTGCATAATTCTGCTCGCTCTAAAAATATTTTTTTGTATTGTCTCCGTAAGATTAACGTGACTTTGATCATTTTTTAAACCCAAATACAATACAAAAAAATATTTTTAGAGCGAGCAGAATTATGCACCGCAGAATTCTGAACACTCTAAACTAGAGTTGTGAACTGAATATTGAAATATTGAACAAATAAAATAAATAATCTACGGGTTACTTTTATGGATATTCGTCGCCGTGGATTATTTATATTATCTGTTCAATATTTCAATATTCAGTTCACATCTCTAAATCTAACATACAACAAAAAAATACTTAGTAAGGCGGCATCCACAATTTACGTTAAACCAGTATTGTTATAGGGATTGCATTAAATAATTCAAAGTTTTGATTTATATGAATTAATAACAATAAGAGAATATTCGCGTTTATTTAATTGATTTAATTTTTAATTTTCTCGAAATTGATCAAAACAACGAGAATAAATCCAATTTTGTTATTAAAGAATTTTTGTATAGATCAGATCAATTAAAATTTTAAATATTCTTATAGTCCAAATTTAACTATAAATATAAGCTTTATCGCCAAATCGTTTATATTAGATCTGATTCTGATTCAATACCTACGTTGCAAGTAAAATATGGAAGATTTAGCTTTAAATGAGCATGCAGATGATTCAAATGAGAATACAGATGATGATAGCAATTCAATTAATGAAACTGACAGTGATGATTATTCTTCAAACTACAATCTAGATGGATATAAAAATAATTTAAAAAAAGAACTTCTCACGTCATTATTTGAAGAGGCGTCAAAAAAGATTGAAAATAGGATTTCGGAAATGCAAGAGTATCGAAAAAGAAAAAGAAAAGTTAGACGGAGAAAATTTCCTTCTGACGATATTACAATCGATAGTCATTCGAAGTCTTACCTAATCAATTCTGATGCTGATCCTAAAAATCAATTTTACGATGAAAATAAGAAAAAATTTGACCAATTAAAAGTATTAATGAATTCAATTATTGAATCTTTTAATTTAAATGACAATATTAATGTTACCTATATATTTGAGCCTATAAGGATTTTTTATAAAGCCTTAATAAATGCTGGATACCTAAAAATGACCAAAAAAAAGTATAAAGTTAACTTCTCTGATAACACTTCCATCAATGTAGAATTAATATTTCAGAAAAAGGATACTAAGAAAAAAGTTCAAAAAGAACCAATTACAGAATATGGACTTATTTTGAAAGATCAACCGAAACCATTACAAACTCTTATGTGCGCACTTGGAATACCTGAGGGGTATATTAAAAATGTGTTTTTGTATAAATGGTATAAACCATCTGATATTTATAGAGAATCGAATTCAGTTGAATGTCTAAAGTCATCAAACACGAAAAGCTCAAACAGCATTATTGTTAATAATTTAGATAAGATATTGCATTTAATAGAAACAAGGATATCTGATAAATTGGAAAATGAAATTCTTGACATACCAAAGCAATTACTTTTTGCTTCTATATTCTTGAAGTATTGTGATGAGAATATGTATCTACTAAAACCGGTAAAGCTGACAAAAAAACAAAAGAAAATTGTAACATCATGACAAAAAGTTATAGACTTTGACTTTTGTATATTTGATGATCAATTCTACAAACATGACGGTATTGAGCCACTTTTAAAAGAACTTAAATTTCGGCAAAATGAGATGATGACTATATTTAATACAATTAAAATGATACCTAATTTATTAGCATATAAAGTTTTCCCTATAGATCAAGGTACTTTTCCCGAAAGACAGGCAAAACAAAATGCAAAAACAAATGTTTTAAGATATCTTAAAGAATCTTTAAATTTATTTTTATATTGCATTACCTTCGGACTAGTCTTTTCAATGGGCGATCCTCTAGGTGGAACCAAAGATTGGAAAAATTTGAACGAGGATGATTACAAAAATTCGGTAAAAGTACTAAATGAAAGTGAAGAGTTGAAATCGGCATTGCAAGAAAGAAATGCTATATTTGGACCAATTATTATGAATGCGTTAGTAGACTATGCAGAAAAATATCAGTTAATAAAAGCGAGTCAAAAAAATAATTTGGATCAAACTGATTTAGCATATCTCTTGAGAGGAGTTAATCGTAATTATCAATATTGGGATATGAGAAATGAAGACGATTTTTTAAATGAGAATCCCCAAGTATACACGCCAGCTAAATTTACTTTCTTTGAGAAAAAATTTGAAGCCCTTTCTTTAAATGAAATGGCCCGATCAGATAACAATGATGAATTTTATGAAGAAGTGTATAATAAATTTAATGATGACAATAATATTTATGAGAACGATAACAATTTTCATGAGGACAAATACAATGAAATGGAAGTGGATAACTTTAACAATAGAAAAAAAATTCTTGATAGGAGGAATCTAACTGGAGCAACAAACCTAACAGAATATACAAAATGGTTAACTGAACTTCAAAATAATGACTTAAAAGATGCCCAATTTAGAAAATTTGATAAACAAATAGATAAATTGCTGACGAATATTAATAGTATTAAAGGTATTAAAGGAAACAGCAATAATGCTCTACAAGTATTGATAACTCAGGTATTAAAATTTAGTGGCAAATTATTTATTCACTTTAGCGAAGTCTGGTGTAAGGAAATTAATAGTGGTTTATTTCATAATACGATTCAATTCTTTGATCAAGACACTGGAAATGATATACTCTGGTATTCCGAATTTCGTAAAATTATTGATGAAGATATTAAAACTAGTTATAATTATTTGAATGCATTGAAATTAAAATCAATGAATGATTTCGAACAGAATCAATATGAAACTATTATGAATATGATTGATATCTTCGAATTAGAATTCAATCAAAGTGATCAATTAAGTAGGGCAGTAATAATATCAAAACACGCAATAACGATTAATAAGACAGCTGAAGAATTTCTTAAGAAGTATTCTGATTACTTTATAGAATGCATACAAAATCTTCCGGAGTCTTATAGTGTAGAAAAAGTTACAATTCAAAATTTTGTTCAAGATTACTTTAGCAATGATGACAAATTGTCTTTATTTATTAATATACCTGAGAATCGTACAAAATATGAAAATCTTGTCAAAAATAAAATTGTTGATCTTAGCGAAGAATTCACAAGAAAATGGAATGAATTTCTTCAAGAGAACGAATCGAATGAAGCAAAAGAGTTTACTCGTGTATATCAAGAATTTGTTAACTCTTTGCATGAAACTCAAAAACCATATTATTTAGTTGCAAATGAATTGGATGGTTTAATTAGAAGAGGTGAAGATTTTTTATCACTGGAAATTAAATCAGAACCCATATATACTTAAATAATCCACGGATTACTTTAAACCTCAATGACTATTTATAACATAGTTATTTTTCCGAGAACTAAAAATTAATAAATTTTAATTTGGCAACAAAAAACTTACAAACTAATAAAAATAAATTTAAAAAAAAATTTGGCATAATAGAAAACTTGGTTTTAGAACTATTTGAACTAGCACGCTAGTGATGAGATTTAATTGCTAATTCACATAAGAAGGATAGTATTTATAGGCACAAATTACTATTAAATTTATTATAATTATGAAATCTTCTTTTCCTCCATAGTAGAGATGTGACCCGTTATTCACTGAATATAAATTTATTAATAAAATCCAGTGAATATTCAATAGATTTATTAATAAATTTATATTCAGTAGATAACGGGTCATATCTCTACTCCATAGAAAACTATTTTTTTTTTTATTATGCTAATATACTTTATCTTTCTAATAAAAATTGTAGAAAAAACTCTTTTATATATAATATAAAAAAATTATTAAAATTGATTTAGTAAATGAGAAGATATTTATATTTTATTTTTTTGTGACTATATAAAATTTTTATAAGTGTAGAGGAAAAAAAGATTTCACTCTTATATAAAAAACATAGTAAATTACACTTTCGTAATTTATAAAATCCTATCCTTCATATATGGATTGTGAATTAAAAATTAAAGTGTCCCGTCCGTGATTAGTGAAAAAATTTAATTGCCAATAGGATAGGATTTACATACGCAAATTACTATTAAATTTATATTACACCTTTTCTCCATAATAATTTGCCCAACTCATTTCATCGAGAGGTCATTTTGACTTATTCAGAATTATTTCTTTTAAAAATAATGACAATTTTTTACTAAATTTTTTTTGCAAAAAATTAAATATCGTAAGGTAAAACACAAACCTATTAACGTAAACACTATATAATTTTTTAGGTTGTGAAGTTCTTGTTCAATATTTTGTTCGATAACTTGAATTTTCTTGTTCAATTTGCTAAATTCGTGCTTTACTAAAACGTTCGCAGATAATTTTTGATTTAATGTATTGATTATTAAATCAATTTCATTTTGAATCTCTTTAATTACTAGATTTGTGTTGATTTCATCTTGAATTTCTTGTGCTTGTAATCCTTGAACCAGTAAATTGATTTTTTTGTCAATTTCACTTTGGATCTCTTTAAATAAATTTAAGCAGAAGACTTTATTTTGAATCTCATGCGCTTGAATTTTTTTTTCCAATGAATTGATTTTTATGTCAATTTTATTTCTATTCTTTTTAAATACTTGCTTCTCAAGTATTTCTAAAAGATGTGCTTGTAACAAATTAATTTTTAGATCGATTTTATTTTGAATCTCATTCATCAAAGATTTCAAATATGATGGTTCTGTTAATGCTGAAGGCACAAAATGTGCTATAAAATAAAATAAAATAGTTATAAACAAAGTACATTGTTTAATTTGAAACAAACTTACTAATTTCATTTTCAGCAACATTCTCATTTATTTTCTTAATTAAAAAAATTTCAATTAATAATAAAAATATAGGCACGTAGTTTGTATAATTCAATATAATTTCATACCACTTCGTTCAATTCAGAATACCTTAATCAAATTAAAAAAATTCAGAACTAGAAAAAAAAAAAATCTTAAAAATGAAAAATATTATTACCTCTTTGTTAATTCTTTAATTTGTAATGTTTGATCCTTTATTATTTTTTGTAGGTTTATAATTTGGCTTTCATAATGTTGTTTACATTCAGAAATGTTTTTCTCAAGATACTTTATTCGGTCATTATTTTTGTCTGTTTCGCTTTTATATTTTGCAAGAGAAATATATTTATTCGTATTATTGTCTAAGTCATTGATCATTCTTTCCAAATGTATAACTCGGCGTCGCAAATATTGGTCAAATGTAAAAACATCATCTTCTGTCCAAATAAAATTTTGTATAGAACTTTGAATAGGAACAATATTATCTTTTAATTCAACTTTAAGGTCTAAATTTAAAACCTTGTTCGGAAATTCTGTCGGAAATTCTTGATGTTGTTGTATAGTAAAAGGTTTCAAATATGGTTGAAAGAATTCTAATTGATTTTTTACAACAATTTCACAAAAGGCCATAAATAGAAAATTATAATTTTGGGATACTATAAGATAAAACTTTATAATTTCATCATTGTTTAGACTTAAATGATTCTCCAATTTTTATGCATAACCATTGCAGCTCCATATTTGACAAATTACTTTTTTCATTTTTTTCAAAAATGTTGCCTAAATTCCTTTAATGTAATGAAAGTATTAATTAAAATTTTATTGCAATAAATTTAACAGTTATAGAACGTACAGTTTAGTACAAATTTCATTCACTTTTTTTGTTGTAAGTTCATCGGCAACATCAAATGTATATTTTGCCTTTAGTAATAACAATAAATTAACTTTATTAAGAAAATAAACTAAAAATAAAATAAATAAAAATTGCAATCATTATAACTGACCCATTTAAAAAATATGTCATTTTGATTTTGCATGATTTGTCTTCGAAACAAGCTTAAAAAATGGTCAAAGTTTTATTGTTTAAAGAAATTATGTCTAAACGGGTTATATTTAAAATTTTGAATTGAATTAAAGTTAATATTATTCATAAAATAATTTAATTAATATAGTACTTTAGAAAATTCTTAATTTAAGAAAAATTAGTATTATTTAATTCAATAAAGTAATTTTTTAATTGCTTGTTATTTGTTTATTAAGTTTTTCGTCGAATTTCCAATCAATTGAATCATTAAATCGATTTTAGGTTTAAATTTTGACAAATTTGACTCATGAGCTGTGTTAAAATTTTTTATAAAAAGAAATGTAAATAAAAAAAGCCACATTAATTTTTAAAAAAAATGGAAAAGAATTCTGTAAATTTAAGTGATCAACAATTAATAGATCAAATTCTTGAAGTTAACAATGATATTAATAATAACTCTTACGATATCGAATCTGAATCATATTATGAATATTTACTTCAGAGCTTATTAAAAAAATATTCAATATTATCTTTAGCAACAAAAGATAAATTTTCATACTCAAACCAAGATCACATCAAAAACGAATTGGTTCAACATAAATATGAAAAAATTTTAAAAGACTTTTCATTGTTACTCGGAAAAATCAGATCGAATAACTTTTATTTCGATTATCAGAAAAAAAATCAATCTAATTCACTTTTTAAATTATTATATCATCTAAAAAAACTTAATAATGATTCATATGACTTCGATAAAGCAAAAAAAGAATTTGATCAAATAGAGTCACCTACACTTTTTGAATTAACTGAAGGATTTAAAAATGTTGTAGAAGCTAATAAAGATTTGACAATTTATTATAGATATACTAGTAATGGTTGTATTACCAATTGTTTATCTTTAGAAAAATTCAGTTTATCCAAGGAAACTACTTTGGAATTATTATTATTATCTTATGGGTTTGCTAAATGGTTTTAATAAATATTTTACTGTAATACGAGTTTGACAATTAAGTACATACAAAAATTATCTTATAAATAAATATATTGAAAGTTTTCGAATATAACGAAGTAATATGAGTTTGCTAATTGGTTTTAATAAAAATTAACTTATAATTAAATACAAGTAAAAAACTAAATTAGGGAGTTTCAGAGTTAACTTATTTTGAAAATAAGTGGGGGTTTGAAAGGTCTTATTTTTGTTTTGAAATTTCAAATCAGAAAATGAAAAAGGAGTTGTCCGGAGATAAAATAAACAAACTTTTTTATGATGTATAATATGTCTTATTATATAAATAGGCTTGCAAATAAAAACAAATAGGATCTATAGATCGCTGATTATAAAATAAATACGTCGCTAATTTAATTCGAAATCAGAAACCTGAACCTTAGGTCTGAAACCCCCTATTGTATTAAGTTTGAGCTAGAGATGTGACCCGTTATTCACTGAATCTAAATTTATTAATAAAATCCAGTGAATATTCAATAGATTTATTAATAAATTTATATTCAGTGAATAACGGGTCAAATCTCTAGTTTGAGCATTCCATCGCAAATAGCGCAGGATATTAATCTTTATTTTAATCATCTTCTTCATCAAAGTCAATTTCAAAATTAAAATCATCATCATAATAATTATTGTTTGTTGGGAGATCATTGTTTGTTGGGGGTCTGTCTTCTTTATATTTAGGACCTATTTCACCATATCTGCTTGTCATCCATTTATACCATTCTGTTTCAGTTTTGTTATAGAGGAATCCAATAATGATTATAGTCATGTTATCAGTGCCGATGCTGCCATCACCAGTTTCAGATAAACACCGTTCCATTAAATCTTCACAAGCTCTCTTGAGATCGTTATGTTCAGCAATGTTTTTGCGAATAAAGCTAACCACATCTTGCGATTTAAGGCAGTCCCATATACCTTATATTTTTTTTAAAAAAAAATAAAGTTAATGTTGCGCAATAATATTAAATTTTTAAAAATTAAGGAAAAAATTTTTTTACCATCACAGGCTAAGACTAAAAACTCTGTAGATTCAATTTTAATCCCGTGTTTTTTAACATCAGGATATGCTTAAAATAAACAATAAAATTAATGGTTTTAAAAAATTTCAATAATTATGAATTAATAACATCCGTATAGATTTTTACCTGTTACAATTTGTTTTTCTGCGCCTAATTTTGTATTTTGCTTAAATTCGAAGTCACCAAGAGCACGTGACAATGACAAGTTTCCTATTAGAACGCACGTTAATGGCGTTATATGTATAAAGTTAACATAAACAACCAACAAAAAGTCTCATTGTATGAGAGCAATTATGTCAATACTTGGATTTTATACTACCATTAACTCTCCCAAATTCTATATATCCACCAGCTTCCGTAATTCGATCAGATTCGTCTATAAATTAACGTTAAAAAAAGAATATATAATATTTTGATACAGTAAGAAAAATGCAAAAACCTGGATTACTGGGCTTATGATCATCTGACATTGGGATTGCCACACCATCCTCGCTGAGAACAGCACGAGAATCTCCTGCATTTCCCTAATAATTAATGGATAAATCATCAAAACATTAACCTTGAGCACAAACAAACTTACAACCACAAACTTACGACGTATATTTCACTATCTGGTGTTACAATAGCTATAACTGCGGTACATCCTGAAGGATCATTTTGTAAACTGGGATCTAAAACATAAAAAAATTAAAGGTATTAAAAAAATATTAAATGAAAGATAATTAAATATAGATTTAAAGAATAAATAAATACTATTTTTCATATCGTCGTCTGTTCCCAAAAAACCATTCTTTATTGCACTTATAATATCTGTCTCAAACTTAGAATCATTTGCGATACGAACATGAAGATTTTCTTCACTGTATTTTGCTACTTTTTGTCCTATTATTAAAAGAATTGAAGGTATGCAAAAGCATTTAAATTGCATCACGTGGAAAATGAAGAAACAGTTATAACGCAAACTAGAATTTATACCACTGTGGCCGTCGAACACGCCAAAGTAACTATATTCTTTTTTATCAAGAAGCTTTAATTGAGTAGTATGAGCGTCTTCCATACTAATACGCCAGCCTTGCATGGAAGATGAAGCATACAGTATGCGGTCGTCATGATCGGAAAATGTGAGTTTTTCTTTAGCTGGTTCTGAAAGTGTTTGACCCATTTATTCCAACATGAAATAGTAGAAGACACGAGTAGTTTAATATATGATAATAAGCTTGAATTTTTTTTCCTTTCTTTCATTTTGTTCAATTGTAAGATTAGGTTATTTTCAAAAATTATTTCAATTGAAATATTTTATTAATTAGGATTGAATTTTTTTTTATATATACATAAATTGGCAAAACAATTTAAATAACAAATTGGTAATAACTCAATAGCGATAGTTACAAAAAAAAAAAAAAAAGAATATTCATAATGACAGTAATTTATTGTGTGTAACTGCAGATTCCAATTAATTAATTAATTTATTTTTAGGATTGTAATTTCTATTTTGTTCGAACAATTTATAATTTTAAGATTCAAATTCTAAACTTCATTAAAGCTCTTTATTTGAATATAAAGATCCATTTTATTTTTGATATTAACCAATTCTGCTGCTTAAAAATTCGAAGTACTATCTATTTTTAACATCAATTATATCAATTAGATATCATATTCTTCTTCTGTTATTTTTTAATTAAAAATATTTAGTTTCAAAATTATAAAAAAAGAGTCTTTTTTTTTTACCTGTATCTTCGATTTCTTTATCTCAATAGTTTGAAATTTTACATAAGAAACAACCTTTCGTGCTCTAACAAAAAAAATTCCTTGAACAATTTTACTATAAAACCTTATAACCCTAACCTTGTCGTAGGCCCTAACCCTAACATTAACGAACCTGAAAAATTTTGCCCGGTATCACGTGATCGAAAAAAAAATTGGTGGCGATGCTGGGGAAGATACCTAAGTCACAACATTTTTTGATATGACCTTGGTCACATAACCATATGGCTTTTTGGTTATAAGTTATATTGATCATATTAAATGCTAATAAAAAATTTTTTTTACTATGATTCTTACAATATTAAAAAAGCTTATAAGTCATATTAAAACCAAATGACTATTACTGGTAATATAGGTCATATAAGTCATTGAAAATCATCGGCCAACACCAATTTTGATTATCTCACATCTTCTAGGTTAGAGACCAATATAGGTCATATAGGTCATTGAAAATCATCGGCCAAAACCGACTTTGATCACCTCACATCTTTTAAGTTAGAGATCAACAAAGCTTAGCACAGACTTCAAAAAATCACTGGTTAAAAAACACATATTTTAACTAAATAATAACCAGTTAATTCTAGTACTTATTTACTATATGGGGTTATTCATACTAAAAAGGCCTATTTTGCAAATTTTTCGAAAAATGAGTTTTTATTGGTTTCATGTAAATTTCGACATGACTGGCATTTTTCAATTATAAATGAAAGGTGATTTGCATAATAAAAAATAGAGATAATGTAAAGAAAAATTACACAAAGCTGTCTAAGGCCAAGAATATCACGAAATTACCTGATAGTCACCTGTTACTTTTAACCAATCAAAATCGTGAAATTTGCTTAATCCCGGATCAGTCCGAAAATCAAAACAAATGATTAAACTTAATTATCTCAAAATTGTTTATATTGCAAAATGGGCCCTTTTAGTATGAATAACCCATATAATTACTAGATATTTTTGTAGTTTATTATATTTTTAGCTAATATGCTTAAATACATATATTACCTAGTAATTATATAGTAAATAAGAGTAAATAAGTTATTATTTGTACTAGAAATAACTAGTTATATTTAGTTAAAAAATGCTTTTTTAACCAGTGAATCCTATCGTAAAATATCACACAAGAAGCAAGCTTTTTGTCCTAGCAGAGAAGTTTTCTTGTAAGTTGTTGATTTAAATGGCGCTTAAAGATGATAACAAAAGTTTGTTAAAGTATAGCTTTTAGATACAAAATTTTTGCAGAAGCTCTCCTTGTATTTCAATAGGTTTCCATGCACATTTAAAATAATGCGAGTCATATTTCCCAATTAGCATCTTAAATTATATTTTAAGTATGGTATAAGGGCCATGACATTTTTTACGTAATTTCCATTTTCGTTCAAATGAAGGCATTTATTTTTCTAATCATTTTTCGCTTCTTGTCGAAGATAAAAATTCGGTTTTAAAAAATTAAATTAAATTTCGATTCCTATTCTTTGGTAAGATCCATTTTCATTCAAACAAAGGCATTTATTCATTGCCAATTATTTTTCGTTTCTTGTCAAAGACGAAAATCATACAAACAAATATAAACATATAAAATTTTTTACTTGGATTTCGTTTAGCATAATTCTTCATGCATTCTCGACAAATATTAATAATATCTTGGTCGCTTGGAATCCTAACCCGAAATTCATTTTTAAACCAGTCGATCATATTAGTGGCACCTGTTCGAGATATTTATTATAAAAGTCTAATTTATATTCGATTTCTTCTTGTTAAGGTTTATTGGTAACATGAACAGTTTTTTCCATAAATTTTCGTACAAACTAAAGCACACCAAACATTTTTGGACAAGCATTCGAACGAAAAT